ATGTAAAACAATGTGCCGCTAGAAAAAAAATGGAGAAAACAAATCGCTCACAATGACTTGCTGGACTTTCGAAAGGCCTTTTACAGGCTAAAGAAACTGTAGGTAAAGGGTGTTGCAGTGGTGGTGATGCCGTTCATCACAAGTATGGGAATGCAACCACAATGTTGCTGAGATATTTGCAAAACTCTGGACCGCAGGTGTCTATGGTGGGGAACGAACGCGCTATTATCCTTTCCGGGGAGTAACGCGTTCACCACCACACCATGCGGGTCGTTTGTTTCACACGTCTCTCAGCTATTTCTATCGATCTTTTTGCCACAGCAATCACCCGTCAGCGGGGTTGATCTGGGGAGCGCAAATCGGCATAGAACCCAGTTAAGCTATGGCTGTAGTTGAAATCACAATGTTTTAACGTTTCGTTTTCTGCCTTCTATAATTTTCATGGCAGGTTACTAAGCGAAATACAACCACAATGTTTATAGTATATTTATAGGAAATAGCTGAGAGACGTGCGAAACNAAAGAAACTGTAGGTAAAGGGTGTTGCAGTGGTGGTGATGCCGTTCATCACAAGTATGGGAATGCAACCACAATGTTGCTGAGATATTTGCAAAACTCTGGACCGCAGGTGTCTATGGTGGGGAACGAACGCGCTATTATCCTTTCCGGGGAGTAACGCGTTCACCACCACACCATGCGGGTCCTTTGTTTCGCACGTCTCTCAGCTATTTCTATCGATCTTTTTGCCACAGCAATCACCCGTCAGCGGGGTTGATCTGGGGAGCGCAAATCGGCATAGAACCCAGTTAAGCTATGGCTGTAGTTGAAATCACAATGTTTTAACGTTTCGTTTTCTGCCTTCTATAATTTTCATGGCAGGTTACTAAGCGAAATACAACCACAATGTTTATAGTATATTTATAGGAAATTGCCGATTTGCGCTCCCCAGATCAACCCCGCTGACGGGTGATTGCTGTGGCAAAAAGATCGATAGAAATAGATGAGAGACAGGCGAAACAAAGGACCCGCATGGTGTGGTGGTGAACGCGTTACTCCCCGGAAAGGATAATAGCGCGTTCGTTCCCCACCATAGACGCCTGCGGTCCAGAGTTTTGCAAATATCTCAGCAACATTGTGGTTGTATTTCGCTTAGTAACCTGCCATGAAAATTATAGAAGGCAGAAAACAAAACGTTAAAACAGTATGGGAATGCTTAGACCTTGGCCTGCGCTCATCAAGCTTTCATGGTCAGGAAATTGTCACCAAACTTACTTGGGAACAGTTCACTTCCTGCAATCCAACTGGGAGCGCTCTATGACAGCTATTACAGGGCTTCAGTAATGATCAACTAGACCATCATATCATATCATAAAGAAGACGACTATCCTTAAATGGCAGCTCGATCTAAACGCAAAAGTTCGAAGATCCACATAGGTAATCGATGTAAGGGAACAAATCAAATGCAAGAAGTGCTGGGATCCGAACAGCAGATGTGTAGACGGATCGTGCAAAATAAAATAAATAAAGGAAAACAAAACTAGTATCCTGGAAAATAACGAGAATACATAGTACCAGTGTGTCAATAACCCCAGAAGACGTCCTACAGACGTTCCGTACCTCCTCTAAACCTCAATATACCTGAACGAAGAAATCGGAAAACGATGTATCAGGCTCAGTTGGTGGATTCCTTTGGACCATAGGCCAATCCCAATTAGAATTTTTAAATTAACTTAAAAAAATAAGTCTTCAAAACAAAAAAGAAGAGCGATGATCAGAATAAATGTCGCATGACTGACCAATTGTGCTTCATCGACATCAAAACTGGTGATGCTTTTTTCAACGACACGTAAATGAGCACGACTTTCGGTGACCAGTCGACAGAGCGAATTCTGAACATGAATGAAATAATCGTCAGTACGAATATCCGTGAAAATATTTTGTTTGGTTTCCGATTGCTAAAAAGTTTTACTAAAGCTTTCTCGGAAGATTTTTTGCGATTAAAACCAGAACATGAGTCCAGCAAGAATTTAGCAAAATGAGTCAAAAAAAAGTATTTTAGTAGATGATACCAGTGCATCAAAATGTTCCGAGAAATCTTCGTCAATCTCTAAGAGATCGTCGCGAACTCCAGTACTCGACGACGCTGGCGGTTCGGTCATCGAGTCGTCTTTAGCTGGAGGCTGAAAGCCAAAAGCCGTCTTTAATGTTCTTTGCTTCTATTTGTAATTTAAATATGGTTATGAAGTCGTTAAGGATTTTATTTCAATCGAAGCATTTTTACGAAATAAAACCAGAAATCTCCACTTATCCAACAGTAAAAAAGGATCAACTTGAGTAAAAAATGGCAGGACTCCTAAAGTGGGACGCAAATGTTTGAAAAAATATCGCAGTCCATTTTATAACCAAAACGACGTACCATTAATGTCTACGATATAAGCCAGTGAATAAGTAATGAATAAAAGAAATCGATAGTTATGCTGAAAAAACTAATAGTAGCTACCCGATAGAGGCCAGAATATTATGGCAAACTGAACGTCAAAAGTGAAAAACAGAAATCAAATCAGCTAATATGTTCTTTAAGAAAGTTATACATCCAAAGGAACGCACTAAAATCTGAAGAATCGGGTCGGGGTCGCAGTCGCTTAGATCTGGGGTAATGGATCTGGGAAGAAAATGCGTTGGACAACGCCAATGGACACCATACACTTAGTTTAGGGGGGCGGGAGAAAGTTATTCAATCGGTCACCATGAGAAGATCAGTAAGTGATAACAGAGAAACATCTTCTGCATAACTTTTCCAGAAAAAAGACAGCCCATCAATGTTGTGCAGATGACTGGCGGATAAACAAATTTTATTCGGCTAACGTTTCGACGTCGGGTGAAACATCGTGTAAGCTTATCAATGGAAGAATACGTGCTGATTGTTATTAAAAGAAAGTTTGCTTTGAAATAACTGGTAGTACCAGCGTGAATAAACTCTTCTCAAATTGGATATACGATACTTTTTGTTGCTCTTTTTTACTGATATTTTACTCCTTTTCATATCAATTGTTAATACCATCAAACTGAATCAACTGAAAAGAAAAGAAAAAAAAGAAAGAAAAAAGAAGAAAGGGCTATTAGCATCGTTATCCAATTACTTGATGGGTGTGTGTGGCGCAGTGGCTGGAGGCGTCACTACGACACACACGTGGAATCGATTCTTGCGCCCATGGCTCACCAAGCCTTCCATCCCTCCGGGGTCAGCAAACTGGTACCATACTTGTATGGGAGGATAGCAGCACTGGTTCATTATATCGTTAGGTCACCGCGAGTTATTGTAAAGGCCAGATATGCATTCAATCACCTCTAACGATACTTAATGAAGTCAAGCGCATGGCGCATCACTCAGAGATTGATCAATGCCGAAAGCCTTATTTTTTATCCAATTACTTTGCAAATTTGCAACTTACGGAAAAAACTAGACATTAGTTCTGAGCTTTGACGTACACATTAAATAAGAGGCTAAGTAAAGCAAATTCACATAGGATCGTTAAGAATAGGAACTTCTGAACCGTCTTGAAAGCTTTAAGACTCACTGAAGAACGTAGTCAAGAAGTCTGGGAGTTAAGAAATTCATATCGGTCTACGGACGATAAGCTGACAACTATCACAAATTTCAGTAATTAGGCGTTGACATCTGTCACTAACTCGATTATTAACAGATCCGTGTACCGAAGGCCTGGATTTCATGGGTAAATTCACCTCCGCACACCTCAATTGAGGATAATTTCGTTAATAATGACGGATTGAATACTGTGTGTATGCAGTTGTCATGGCAGCGAATGAGCGCGACTGCTTCCCAACGAATGGACAGACCCCGATCGTGCCGATTGACGGAAAGCACATAACATTCCCATTTGTACACACTGATCAATAGTTGAGATTTTTGTATTGTTATTCAGTTGTGAATAGCAAGTGAGAAACGATCATGCCTAATATGGAAATTTCACTCTCGGAGCTACTCTAACATAATGCCGTTGGCTGATTCCACAGAAAGTGAAAGTTGGACATTGAACGCGTTTTAGATGGAGAAGGTTTTACTCGCTTTGGTGATAATGGTAGACTTCCTATTTACGTTAGCACTTTCTTTAACAATTTACGACCTCAGCGTGGTGGAAAAATCTTTGATATCGAAATACAGTGTGGTATGAGAGCTGTATCAAGATAGGAGCCAATCTAAGTCGAAAAGAAGCTCGATAATTTGACCGACAAACCAAGCACTGACCAAATCAGTATGAGGAATCAAAATCGTCCTGGAATTAATGCGAAGTGGAAAGCCGTCCACCGATTTATAGGCGCCGGCTAATGTCTGCGATGGCGACACGGGAACGAACTGTCACGACTTTTTCAACAATCCAGGAAATCAGTGAAATGGAAACTGTTTTGAGTTTACATGATTCTTCGGGAAGATGGACTTTTCGACTATAAAGCAGCAAGCAATACAAAGCAATCGCATAGGTTTTAATCCTTTAGGCATGACTAAGATGTGCAGAATAAAATGTTTGTCTAGAACTAGTCGACCTCCATTGAGTTGTAAGCAAAATTGCAGACAATAAAAAGAAAAAGGAAAAATGGAAAAAAATGGAAACGCAGAGTGCCAACGAGCGTGAATTAGTAAATTATTGACAGCAACTGGTGATCATCATAGTTAAACTGGAGGTAATCGTGAACATAATTGACAAAGCCAATTAGTAGTGAAGAGAATTCGAGTGTCTCTTTATTTCCACTACTTTTAGACACTCCAAAAATTTTTAGGCTATAGTGATTCATGGTGTTACCCCAAGAAGGAGAACACTGTTTTTCTTTCAAAACTTTCGGCTTATGTAGCAGATTGAGACGTTCAAGAACTTATCCTTAACGTTTCCCAATTTCTCTTTATCAATAGGCAAAAACCTTTCATCTTTTCAGATTTTTTCCTCTTTCCTCCTTCGCAGTAAAAAGCGTTTAGGACCTTTCGCTTTAAAAATCTGATTTCTTACAACCGAAACTCATGATCTTCACGAAAAGTGCTGTAACTTCACTAGATACGACATTGTCACCAACATTATATTCGTCCCACTCGTAAACTTGAGTGTCAGAGTGCTCCGGTGCGGTGTCGCTCTCCAGATTCGCCACTAAGTCACGGTCGAGCTTTTGAAGTAGCCGTGTAGATCGAGCCAGCGGCGTCGCGGGCGGTGAGCGACGTATCTGTGGCGTCAGCAGAGCTGCAAACAGAGATCTCATTTTAGAACAACTGTAGTGAGCCTATAGAAAATCTTCATCAGAATGAAGTATTTGTAAAAAACTTTCTTCGTCGTAAAAAATTCACACTGTAGTCTTAGTATGGTAAAGGAAACAGAAAATTTGTCGCAGATCCCAGTTTGTCATCTACGTTTAGTTGGACTATACATGTTTCACGTCCAAAGCATTGCGCTTTCCATCAAAAATAAAGAAGGACATAGCTTTACAATAACCCTATGGAAACATTCCGAAGCCTAGGAACTCCAGGTTTTTTCAGGATGTTGAGTAATATGAAATCAGTTCAGCTGTTACAAAAGAACAAAGTTTCTCCACAAGTTTTGTCCTCATCTCTACTTTACTCTTCCCCAAATCGACTTCCTCTCCACACTCTTCTTAAAAATCCATGTTCCTGTATGTGTGCTAACAAATCCGAACTTCTCATTTATATCGTCAGTCATCCTAGATGTTCATTTACTGAAGATCATATTCCACTTCTAAATATAAACATCTTTATAAAGAAAAAAGGAAAACCACTACCGGATTTCACAATAAGCTGTTCTCCGTCACTCATACTTCTCGGCAATCGTCGCACTCGAAGACGTTTCCTCGTTCGACACTGATCTCGGGTGAGCTCGGACCTCGTCGAACAGAATGATGCGTCAAGCGGTGACGAGTCGAGCTACAAAATGCGTTACATTCCATAGAATAGAGTAGCCAGCTATTCACGATTATCGATAACTGTACAATTAAGCCCCAAAATCGACCAATTACGTAATAGGCTGAATCCACGAACCAAAAAATTCGACGTCTTCGGATCGATCCGAGTGCCCGGTAGTGAGTTGGTGACACTGCCGCCACCATTGAAGTCGTTGAACGATCTTAAACCGTCGTTTTATAACTGAGAAATATATCTGAGCTCAGATTGTTGTAGTGACTCCTTAGGATATCCCTAGAAGTTTTCTAGAAAACTCGTCGATACAAATCCATGACCAATTTTCAGACAAATCGATGAACAATAATACTTGTTTCAACCATGATCATGTTGTTTTGCTTGACGAATATCGATTATACCACAGGTGGTACCAACACCTTTCTTTTTTTCTATTTACAGCTGTTCGCTATTTCCATTCAACCTCATCGAAAGTTCATTTTTTTTGTTTCTTCCTAACTTTCCAGTACAAAGGACACCTAAGCTCTTCAAAAAACACCTTACAGAATGGAAAACCAAAAAAATCTAAAAGGTGCATAGAAGAAAGATTTCAACGCATTCGAACCTATTTTGAAAAATTCACTCCTCATTTCCCGACCTACTAGGAAAATAGTGGGCTTCGCATAGCGCAATAGTTGTATACGAGTTTGATCACTTGCCCCATACACACCAAACCTTCCGTCCCTCCGGAGTTGGCAAACCGATACCAGACTTCTCTTCGAGGGCAAAAAAAGTAACATGATGAATCCGTACGCCCAATAAGCCATTTTATAAAACAACCTCATTTCAAAAAAGTCTGAAATAGTAATACTTCTACTTTCTTAGTCAGGTTTCCTTATCCATAGTTTTCGGTTAGCTAAGAACTTCTCCAATTACTCACAATAGAACAAAATCAATTAATGAAGAAATTAATGGATAAGAAAACAAGGAACACACCGGTGCATAAGTCGTTCGTTGCGATACTCCCAATCTGACGACTCTTCTGACGATGCGTCACATGAATGCTATAAAACACCGATGAATAGCCGATCCATTTGAAGTCAATTTTCAGTGATGGCACAGAGTCAGTTCATATAGTTAAATTCACAAATTTTCAATAAATATGGCAAAAACTTCTTATAAAAATGCAAGAAGCACACATGAACTTTTTAGACAAAGTGTTCAGAATGTGGACTTGCTGAAGTGTACGTACGTATGTACGTATACGATCGTGTGTACGTGTGTATGTGTGCATTTGCTGAGAAAAAAGAAATGCAATTGAAAAACGACCTTGAATGGACAACTTCGCGTCGGAAGAAAAACAACGCGGCACACCTTGACATTAACGTTATAAATCATCGAATCAGAAATAAATCAATGACAAAATGGACGCACTTTGGCGTGATCGTCATCGTCGCGTGTCCGACGACGTCGGCCTTTCTCCAGATGAGCACCACCGCCACCAATTTCACGCCATCTCGTGTTGAAGCTGCTGTCGGAGACGTGGTGCTCTCGTGTTAATGGAGTCGTCTCATCCAGTAACGCCATCACCTCATCTGAAAATCATCCATGAAACCATTTGAAAAATTAAATCTTTTTTTCTTTTCTTATAGAAATACGGAAAAGAAACCAACAGATGTGGTAAAATGCTAGAAGAAGATGACCTCTTTCTAAAGGCAAAAGTACACACTAGATTGTCGACAATGAATAACTTGAAAAAATTGGTTACTATAAGTGTAAACAGTTCGGAAGAGATTCTAGGAGTTTCTTTGGTACCTTTAATGTTCTTACGCTAAGATTCACCATCCATAAGAATCTTATTAGATTGTTTAGTCTTAAATCTTTAATTATCCTCTAAAAACGGATATGGTCTGAGAAGACATTTCATTAAAGAAGGTAACCCAATAAATGTTCACCCAGACCTTTTTACTCTATACAAACCGCTTGGCTACAGAAAAAAAAACTCGACCTGAATAAAAACTCCAACACATATAATGGAATCCAATAAAGAAGAAGATACGGAAATCTTGGAAAAAATTCATAACGACTTTGATTTGTTTTTCCTAAATCGGGTGTTCAGCGTTGGAATAGAACTGAGCTGATAACTTACGTTAGGAAACCAACAGAATAGAAAAGGTCGAAAAAGGCACTATAACTCTCTAAAGGTCTAAAAAATCAAAAAAACTGGGATATTCTTGGATGTCTGTCGAATAAAAAGTATATCGAAATTGAGAGCAAACTTTAACCATGAAAATTAACTCCGCGCTGAAAACTGGGAATTTAGTAATGGTGGTAAACTAGACGGTTTCAAAAGATAAAAGTCCAAGTCAGAACAAAGAAACATTCGCGCAATGTGCAAATTTTGCAAACTTCATGTGAATCGGTCGATGAGTGACGGATCGTCTAACATAAAAGGCGAGTCGCCGTCGCACAGACTGTCATCACATCAACATCGTCCTCACCAAATTCGAACATCAACGTCTCCACGGCTGTCAAAATCATCGAATGAATCAAGTCGACGCCAACACAGCATTCATTCCCTCCAGTCCATAACTGAGTAGATTATGCTGGCTTGGTAGAGAAAGAAGAGTGCCACCACAATGTTTAAACTTTAACTTGGTATCTATTCTTTTTTAATAGCAGAGTACAATGCCAAATACAACCACAAGGAAGCCCAAATATAAGAACTTCGAACCTTCGGTGAGCTTTAAAGCCTCAATCACTCTTTCTAATGGTTAAGGTGTATCTATTGCAGCAACCGTAGCAATTGCTTTGCCTATCTCTTAGCCACCTCTTTACCTAACAATGCTATCAGCAATCGTCCACTAACGAGAATGATCTACAAAGCACAAATAAGCACTGAACCCAATTAAGTCGAAGTTGCAGTCGAAATGACAACGTTTTAACTTTTAATTACCACCAATTCTTTTTTTTATGGCACGGTATAATGCGAAAAAAAAACGACAAGCACTCCGAGATATAAGCAAAACTCGGAACCTCAGGTGAGCATTGAACCTGCGATTACTTTTTCCAGTGGCTAAGATCTATCACTGCACCAACTGAGGCCATTACTTTGCTTTTTTCATTCAGTATTATAATACTTTTTGCATAAGATCCTTTATTTTTCGGAATTTTTTGAGGAAAGGACTAACAAAAAAAAACTAAAAGACCAGCAAAGATTAATCACATCGACATGACTGCCCAATATGAACACCAATATCTCCATGGTTGTCCCCAGTGGGCAACAGTAAAAACCAATTGGAATCATTAATACCTCCATTCGCTGTTGCAATCAGAACCGAGTGTGCTAAGCCGATTTGAGGTGCAAGAACAGTGGCGTGGTACTTTTTTAGCACAAGACCCTTAATTTCTATTGTTTTAGTGACAGGTGAGTTTTCTCACGCCTTGTATGAGCCAGAAGCAACAACCATGAATTCCTCTGAAGTTTACGTGGAAATCATTTGTTGGAGATGGCCTGAACGGCTGCTCATGTACTTTACACAGTCATATGATAAGACATAAATCAAAAACAAGTTTTAATAACATTTCATTGATTCACTACTAAACATATGCAAAGTCAATTACCTTTACGATGTGTTTTTAAGGCGGTGGAACCTTAGAAATGTGACCTCGTAGACAGAATTTTCTACATTTCCATGTTTTGGAGGTAGTGGCAAAAAGTATTAATCAAAATAATGCAACTTTAGAACCAAGATTTCTGCTCATAGCACCAAAAACCTCAACCACTTGATAATTTAATGCCGTCAGTAGTGCTAAGAAAATCCTACGATTATAAAGAATGGGTTTCCTCACAATGATGTCATGTCCGTAACAAATCACCTGCACCCACATTAAATCTCTTAACATTATATTTGTTTAAATTATTCTAATTGCACAACACTGTTATATAACCTTTATTTGGCTATTTTTTAAAGCTTGCCCATATTAAAATTGAAGTGTCGCATACCGTATTCCGGACAGTTCCCGTTTAGCGCATCGTAGTTCACGTGCATGGAGTCGGTGAGTGGATTACGATCGACATCGGCAAAACTCTCATGAGTCGGCTAGAAATGAAAGCTAATGAGTGACTGGAAAAACATGAATTTTCCTTAGCCATCCTTCAGAAAACATGGATAGCTTCATATTTTTTTTTCTAAATACGATTTCTCTATCTAACAGCTATGAATCATTTACAAATTTTTCGTGAACACAAAAGAAGAAGGATAAAGTTTTCGTCGCTGATAAATCGTTGAGTGAAGCGCTTTGCAGTCGGCTTCATTAAGCACCGTCGGAGGTGACTGAATGCATAAATGGCCTTTACAATAACTGGCGGTAGCATACCGATGTATCGAGCCAGTGCTGGTATCCTCCCAGACAAGTATGACACCAAATTGTCGACCTCGGAGGGATGGGCTTGGTGGGCCTGGGTCAAAGGGATCGATCCCATGTGTATTACAGGACGTCTTCGACCACTGCGCTACATGTCTCGCTTCGTGTACAATGCGTTTGAAATTTTTACTTGGTAATATTATGAATTACAAAATAATTGGACCCAGACTCTTTCTTGAGCAGAATGAATTATTTCCTCTTAACACTTATTCCATTGCAAATACTAATAACTTCCTCAAAATAAACGGAAAATCTATTTCCACGGATTTTCAAGTTCATTTTGTGCGGAGAGTAAAAACTTAAGATTTTCCACAGTGGGAAGTATACGTAGTGAAAGTCGTTGCAAAATAATCGATACCCACACTTTTCATGCCGAAATTTCCATATTAAACTAGCCACTTAAAATTAACCTAAAATGAAAAATGTTCTCTGACCCTAAACTTTCTAATAGTACCAAAAATTAAACGAACCTCATCGCATGTAACTATCGCATGGAACTTTGGAGGTGCCACTTTCGTCTCTGCTCGTTTTTGCATTATCGTGTGAGTGTCACCAACACTGAAATGGGAGATGTTAAGAAGGGAATAATGAAGATTATTGTGTAGTAGGTAATGTAATTCAATATATATTAAAGGTTATTACGTAATTGACATTCAGCGATTTCTTAAGTTATGAAGTTCCTGATTGCAACAACATAACCCCACTGCAAAAAAACCTATATTCAAAAAAATACACGGAACTCCACAATATACCGTAAACCCAGCTAGATTTCACTTCAGAAACTGCTTATAACTCTGATCTATAACTCATCCAATGCAAAATCCAGAGTACTAATTGTTCTGCACATTAAATTCAGCCGCATTACTTTTTCTAGTATTGAAACAGAAATTATTTGTATTTTCCGCCCTTTACGTAACTCTAGACGAAAAAACTAGATAAAAAAGGTCCATGCATGGTTCTTTAGTTCCTTCCCAACCTTATCACATTGACCTTTTACCTAACGCGCCACAACAAACAGCGTCATGCTGTCTGAGAGTTGAAAACGATAAACAGCAAAAAAACACATGTTCTGCTTCACTGGTAAGCAAACATAGTTTTGTTAAGTCTTGTTAGGCTAATGTTTCTGCGCCTTCAGTTTGTTCAGAGCAGGAGTGATCCGAATCGACTGGCCACAACCGTTTATTCTTGAAATGTAAGTCATACAGACTTGTACAGCTTTCACAAAAAAAAACCATCAAAAAGGTTTCAGCCTAGTAAGGTTACCTCATTCGAAAGGTGCCCCTCCACTACATTCGAGTCGAATCACTGAGGTTCTCACGAAGGTGAAGGGGACGAAAAGTTCATCGAATAAAGCTTTTATAACAACCTCATTTAGTTTATCAACGAAATAAGACACTGATTATTCAAGCCGAGGTTAAATGAACGCTAGTTTGCAAAAATAGGATAATCAAGGAGATCAACAGCGAAAGCCAAGCGACACAATTCAGACTGAGTAGGCGATTGAATAACTCTTTTATCTGAAACGTTTGTAGAACTCCACAACCTTTACAGAAGAAAGATGACGTTAGATGACCCGAATAAAACCATGCTACCCAGATGCCCCCTTCCCTGTCCTGAATACGTACAAAACAAACCAAATAACGACATCTCCAATAATATCTCTGCATTATTTTTATGATTTCCCAGTACGAAACACAGAGGATGCGAAAAAAGATAGCAGGTTCAAACTCTCACAATCAATCAATAGTCATGATATTATCATATCAGGCGCGAAAGTGCACACATTGAACCGTTACTGTGTAGTTGACTAACAACGACAACCGTAGTCCTTTGATTCAGCTGTGTGAAATGGGGCAGTTATACATACGAACGACAATGACGACTGCACGGCCGAAACTACGGCCGTATGGCACGAAAAGAACTAGGCGAAACGGAAAGAACATGGAGTTTTTCAGTGGTCTAAAAGAACGACGAAGTTCAGGTGCGCTAGTGGTCGTTCGAAGAGTGGACGAGCGGACGACCAGACGAGCAAGTAGTGAGTGAGGGAACTGGATTGTGCAAATGGTGTAGTGAAGTCCGGAAGTGAGGTAGTAACAACAGAAAAATCGTATTCTTCACTCAACTCGATAACAAAACTGACAATTAACCGTTTCTGCTACTCCTTTGAATCAAGAAGAAAGATCTGCACAACGCTAGAAAGATTCCAGCCAGTCAAAGGCGTTGCTCACAGTAATTACCGGTGGATTCATATGTTAAAGATGAAAATCTCGGCAAAATACTGAAACCATATTTTTTCCTTTGATCCACACATTAAAAAAATCCACCTTTATTCATCCATTAGTAGTGCGTAATGCATTTGGCTCCATTCGTAGTAAAGGGGATTGAATGTATATCTAGTCTATACAATCACTTTCGGAGGCATATCAGATCACCTGTATCACCTGTAATCCCGTTAATCGTCGAGTGATTCGAGCGGTTGCCAGTAAATCTCCCATTTTTTCCTGCTGCATGCAAGAGTAGCCCAGTGGGTTCCGCTCGCTATAGGAACCTATCGATCATCACATCTTTCTTCTAGGCTTTTCGTGAAGAACTCTAACCATCAAGTCGATGGTCTTCCTGAAGCGCGTTTAACATCTCGAAGAATCCAGTCACTCACAGCTCTTGTCCATCGATTGTCATTAATACGCATTACGTGTCCGACCCACCTTATCTTCGACTGTTTGGTGTACAGAACGGCATCCTTGACTTTTGATCGTTGACGCAGGTCGGAGCTTTGGATCCTTTCCTTTACTTGTGTGAAACGGGATACTCCTAGCATCATCCTTTCGACTGCGCGTTCGATAACGCTGAGTGATCTTTCATCCTGCATACGCACGCAGTGACCAGGTTTCTGACGCATATGTTAAGGCAGGAAGTACCGTTGTGTCGAAAAGGTGGGCACGTAGTCATCTTCGTTGTTCTCTTCACTAGATCCCCGACGCTCTTGAAAGCTCCCCAGGCCGCTCCTCTCCTTCTGCTCAGTTCTTAAGCTAAGTCGTTCATCATATTGGTTTCCCAATCTAGATAGACATAACTGGATCATCCTCCCAGACAAGTCTGGTACAGATTAACCAAACCAGGAAAGATAGTGGACTTGATTGGCTCTAGGTTGGGTCGGACTACAAACAATATGTGTACCTGGTAGCATCTCTCAACGTGTCCTCAGTTACATTTACATATGTATATGTATGAATACATAAGCATAATGTAATCACTGTTGATTTACTGCCTCATCTTTTCTCATGGGAGGGAATGATGTGAACATTACACATTGTCATCAAAAAAGAATAGACAGTAAATAAAAAGTGATGGCCTTGTGATTCACACTACAGCTTCTGTTTAACTGGGTTCAATGCCGATTTGTGCTCCCCAGCTCAATCCCGTTGACGGGTGATTGCTGATAACACCTATAAAACACGGGTGAAAGGCGGAACGAAGAACACGCATGGTGTGGTGGTGAACACATTATCCCCATGAAAGGGTAATAACGAGGTTCGATTCCCAATGCAAACACCTTCCGTCAGGAGTTCTACAAATATCTCAACATCATTGTAGTTATATAAAGAAATTTTTTACATTCCTATACACTACAAATTACTGCATTTATGTATAGTACTGTTACATTATTGTACGCCCTCTCAGCAACATAGTCGTAAAGTGGAAATATCCCTCAGATCCACAATGATTTTTTATGGAGACGAGAAGGAAAAGTTTTATCACGGCTATTTCGAGCGCTCCAGGAAAAAAGTGAAACTTGCGAACTAGGACAATATCAGTGAGATGAAAACCGCATTCCAGATGTTAGGATGATTCTTTCCGGATATGAGCCATTCAAGTAACCAGGTACATTGCTGTATTGGCTTTCAAATTGGATTTGAAGGAACAAAATTTGAAAGTTACGTAAAGTAAGATTACATCAATGTACTAAACTCAAAATTTTAAAGCTCTTTATGAAGTAGTAGTAGCTTAAAACGTTTTGAACTAAACTGTGCATAGAGTGTGACTGTTTTCTACCCTCCATATGTGTTTGGTTGGCATTTACAGTTCGTATTGATTATTCTCTATGAACTTCATGTTGACGTCATTGTCCATTTTACCCGTTGTAGAGTAAAACTAAATAAACTACATTCACAGAAACCCTATACTTTTAAAATTAGTGCTTTTTTATTCTGAATCAGCATGAGACCTTAACGAATTCTTTTCCATGTCAAATTTCTTCTCTCACTGATACGGTATTCATAAAAATGATATAGAAACCATCAATTTGCTTAATACTCCAGCGACAATTAAGCAAGTAACGATCGCTTTTTCGTTGACTTTCTTCTTTAAAAGTGAATGACGCTACAGAATTAATAGAGATAGAGTGAATCAGAACAAATCTATGCACTGACCCTTCGCCGGCGTCGCTGATCATCATGTCTACCAACGAGTTCTCGCCGCTTGAATACCCAATGTCCAGCACTCCTGAGCTCCACTTCCCACGAAATCCGTCGGTCAATGGTTCAGAGATCACTGACATGTCCGTGTTGCTAAAAATCTCCGATGATTCCATTTCAATACAAAGTGAAAATTTTGTAAAGACTGTAACTTTTTGTACTGTAAAGAAAAAGTACCTAAGGGCATTCCTGAAAAAATT